CTTCCCTAGGAGTACTCAGTGGCCCCAAGGATAGAAGAAAGGACCCTCTCGCGCCCAAAAGCTCGACGGTCAGGGCGTAGTGGAAGCCCTGATCCCGTCTTGCGCGGCCTTCCCTCCCCTCGATCGATGTCACGTCAGACGAGTGTCGAGACGATACATTGCAATTATTCGTTCTAGAACCCACTCACAATCAGCTGGTCGCCGAGTGATGAGGTGATGTTTATCTCCCATTCTTATTTCCTCTGTTATTCTTATTACTGTCGCGATCCCTTGTTTAATTTTCCACCTAAGGAGGCTGAAAAAGGTGGGCTATTTTTGGCTGTTCCTGGGGTTTTTTGTTTGCTTATGCTTATGAGTGAATGCATTTTTGCTTACCGTAGCCATTTATTTGCACCAGGACATACACGTACGCGATGACCCACATTGTATAGCTCTCTTCTTCATTCTTTTGATCTCATTCTCGTCCAGCCCCCTTTTTGATTTTTCGAAGCCTTTTTTCATTTCGGAAACACCGATTCGCGCAGTTCCTTCGCCTTCATCACACTGTTTATCACTTTCTTCCATTTTTCGTCATAATCTGGACTACCCAAAATTATCGTGAACTGCGCCCTCGAAACGAGGGACAGCTGGTAAGCCAAGCATTCCACCTCCGTCACTCAGCGAGTGAAGTTCGGCGGATGCCCCTTAAGATGCAAGTAGAAAACGAACAAGCACATAGAGAAGTGCTCTTTTAAAGTCACGTCAAGATACATTTGAGTTTGCGTCGTAACGTTGTGTTGAATAAAATGTTGAAATAACGATACAAAACGAACTCACCTCGTTTTCCTGTGTCTCAGACACTGGATCAGCAGCAATGCTAGTACGACGAGCAGAGCCAGTATTGTACAGACCACAACAAACAACTGGTTGTAACTTCTTTTTCGTTTGATGTTCGCTTTATTTTGGAGGCTCACATCAGCAAAGGAATCTTTTGCCTGAACAATACTGCTAATTACGGTAGCCTACCAATCATGAATTGATGCTTGTGGAATTACGGCTTTCTGGCTTTTCGTGCTTTACGAATGTACAAATATAACACTTATATAAATGTTACTCCCGTAGAATGTTTGAGAAATTAAGGCGCAGCGCTTAAGTCACATTATACCATAAGAGCGAAATACTTTACTTTGAGTATACTGGAATACTTTAAGAATCTTTGATAATTTTCCTTCAGTCAGAACGACTTTTATTTGAGCAAACGGTTGGCGCTACCGCGTACTCTCACAATCTTTTCTCGTAGCAACATTTACTATGACTTATAGCCGTGACATGTGCCCTTGACTACACTAATTTCGACCTTCGACTTTATTTCAGAATTGATGTTCCTGAAGGTTAGGGACAATTTACAGAAGCACCAAGACATTACAGCGGTTTATACATTCCTAAAACACATTTAAGTGAAATGAATGATATGAGTTTTCCTTCGAATATAATTAGAAGCCGTGATAGAATTATCACCTCTCCCTACGGTTAATGTTGTGGTCCTACAGGAGTAATTATATTAGTATAAAGCCTATAAACTCTGTATTTCTGGATTCCTGTCTGTTCGAAAGTTGTCCAGTGGAGGAATGTCATGGGTGATCAAAATTTACCAAAGATTCCGGAAAAGAAGTTTATGTCTAGTTCACGGCACAGCTTCAACATTACCTCCTCATTGCAATTTCCCTTTCCAAACTTAGAATGCTCCACCAGTCCGTGGGCATCTCCTGAGGTTCAGGCAATATTTTGATTTCACCCAAAAAACACTTACGGTAGTAATTCTGTCGAGATAGTCTAACAAATTTTTCTTCGTCCCGATTCTATCCAAGTTCCTCTCGGCATTGAGGTCACCGTACTGGAAGCATCACTTGCTATGATTCATATTGTTGTTTTTTGGTTTCACATCATTTTTACTTGCAAGATCACTATTTCTAGTCTCTAAGCTCATAGAGTCACCGCCCCCATATATGCTTCTAAAGTTAGATAGGGACTTTCGCGTAAAACCCATAAGGCTTGGATGGGACTCGAACCCTTACTTCTGCTTTTCGGGCATCGCGCTCTATCCCTCACACTACCGAGACCCCGTTTGCCCTGGCCTTCTTAATGGCTTATGGGTTTAAGCAGACATTGGTGAGCGTGCTGCTCAACGTTGCTGAGCTATGAGCAACGTGGCCGCTTCGGAAGGTGCTCTAGCACGCTATCCAATCACACAGCAAAACGCTAGTGTGCACTACTAGAATTTTACCCGGTACAGATTTCTTTCGTTCTTTTGTGCGAAGACGACACTACCGTTCTGCTCATTTTTGCATGAATGAAGAGGTGCATGATCTCTGAATAGTCGTTGGAGTTTCTGTGAAAATCTTAGAAGAATCATCATGCTGGAGCTTGAATCTCACGGAAGAATGACAACGATTGTTTCTCCTTTCAAGGGTGAATATAAAGAGGTGGGTTGCCTAATTCCAGAGCACACAGTATACACCAAGTTGTTTGAGCCAATGGTTTTGAAGTTTATGGCGAACTTTTGCGGTAGTATGGACGACACCTAGAAACAAGATGCTAGAATGACTAAATTAGAAAAGATATAGAGAGAGGGAACTCACCAATTCTATCTCGTCATCACCGATCGCACTGCTACTTATGACAGTAAGTTTTTTTCGAAGGGATGTCAAGGGCGATCCAGTCATTAGTGCTACCACAAGGGCCACTGGTAGAACACAGCTGCAACTTAATCCTGATTTCCTTTCACGTGTTTGAAATAGCAACTGAAATCTCATTCAATGTAGCCTTCTTTTGACACCATTAGCACAACTGGAAATAGTCACTTTCTAAAGGGCAGAGTGTGATTGAGAAATCGGAGAAAGGTCTTGCTACATTATGAATATATTCATGAGCAGAACATCTTTCCTCTTAGGATGAAAGGACTTTGCTGCGACGGAACTTCCCCCCCCCCCCTCTTGTGAACCTTTCGGAAAATTTAAAGTCGGTATTAAAGGAATCAGTGTTACAACAAATCGCATCTTTATGATTCGAACGGTAATGTGAAGAATGAAGCGCATGAATCGTCTATGATCTCATTCGGCACACCAGACTTCATACACAGCTCATAGTTTTGACAATGGGATGTTATGGGGTAATGAAGCTTCTGACTGAGCAACCCAGCTTACGCACACTCCTCGCCCCTACCCGATCTTTTGATGAGAGTGCCATCTTCTCCACAACTAACCGTCGTGCATTGAGGTGCGAGTGATTTTCTGAGTGCTACATATTCTGACTCATTCTGGATGTCGGAGCCCTCAATGACACCTTTGCTAAAGTGAGAATCGATGCTGTGCATAAAATTATGTAGTGTGTTAAAGTTTAAGTTAAGTGTTTAAGTTCTACGTTTTCTATTCATTTTCTTGTGACACATCGTTGCGATGTACCAAATGATTAAATAAATCCGTCTAGTTTCTCGACAACTACCTAACCACAGCCTCAAACGCGAAGCGACCAACCGGTCAATATAAACTCTCGCATAACTGGAAATTACCATAACTTTGCATTAGAACACATGACGGAATACTAGAAAATTAAAACCCGGAATTTTTTGACCTTATATGATTCTTACTAATATTGTCAGCTGATGATATCATTACTATCAGGAAAATCATAGCCCTTACTGTTTTTATGTATTCAGATCATTGGCCGGAATTACTAGCAGTGTTGTTTTCGGATA